TATTTTACCAATCAACTATTTACTTTATGCAGAACCAGTACTGAATGTATTGTCAAAGGGTTCATTTGCACTTTAAGGCACATAACACTTTCCACGTTTTCCCTAGACCCAGTCTAACTGCAATGTACCTCTGAGGTCCCGCGTTCGAATCGCTTCCTCCGGTTTTTCCTCCCTCGTCTAAAACCAACCCTAACTAATTCAAACTGGTTAGAGCTGTGCTGCGGGGTCATACATGGACTGTATAGCGGCTGCCAGAGGCGCCTTCACATGCTTTCAGTTCGACCACGTTGAGCTGCGCCACCATCGTACTTCGCGGAGGTGATAAGCGATCGAAACTTATTATATACAAACAACCCGTACATAGATAAATCATACATTGTGATGGATCCAATGCGCATGTGGCCGCCATTGATTTTTAGAAATGGATTCTAAGGGAATGTGCGATAATATGATGGAGTTAAGGCGTGTTCGCGTTACATGGCCTATAAACTTGCACGTATTAAGTGTATGTATATCTATTTATAAAAACATGCCATACTTTCTTACTATAGTATCGTATCATTATATCGTATATATCATAGATTATTTCATAGATTATCAAAGATTTTTATTGATGATGATTAGACCTTTTCTGAGATGGTGAACATGGTGCATTGTGGTCTAGCTTCGGCACAAACATCTTTTGTTCATCATGCCTTATATGGTCTTGTTTGTACCGGAGCTAGACCACAATGCATCCTCTTTATCGAACTCAGAAAAGGCCTTTGTACAGTTTAACGCGTAATAGACCAGTTTCGAATTACAGACTCATTTGCACAGGGTTAGCCTCGTATCAGTGTTTAAATATTCACAAATACCAACGGTAAAGTAAAGAATGCACAACTTAAACAATACTTTGAAACTCGACGGGCCTTGACTTAAACACGTGGATATTGTGCACAAACTCGAGGCTAACCCTGTGCAAATGAGTCTGTAATCAAGAAACACAGCGGTAATTTGGAATTCGAAACGGGTCTATTCAGTCGTAAGACTGCGATGTGTTAAATTTTGAAATAAACGATTTATCTTGTATTTAAGTGACCTACCTTCCTTCAGATAATGAGATATGTGTTTCGCACCTTCAAATGCGCTTAAACCGTTGACCAAATCTTTAAAGCAGTCGTCTTTTCTTGGTAAGGACGAATAGAACTTTATTGCATTCCATTCGCCCAAACTGATTTCCACTTTCAGATGCGTTTTCATTTTTCCTGCGATATCTTCTGGGGATTCCTTCAAAACGTCCGAGGAAATCCCAAAGTACTCTATAAAGACCTGGATATATTTAAAATCATAATATTAATTAATAAAGGTCCAAGTCGTTTGATGTTACAGTATATTTGGCTTGATCGGAAACAAAAAACTTCCTTTGACAGCTAGATTAAACTCATCATACAGCATTCTCCAATAAACCGTTTGCATGGTGGTGTCATTACTGCCAAAAACAAAATGGTTTGCAATGGCCTATTTGGGAAACGTCAGAATGTATTATCTTTATCACAAATCATCATCATTCAACGTCATCATCATCAATCATCGTCATCATTATTGTCAACAACGTCAAATGATCATGATCATATCCTTCTCTATCGACAAAATCATAATCAACAACATTATAAACATCATTATCATCATCATCAACATCAGTAACATCATCATCATCATTATCACCAACATCATCATCATCACCATCATCATCACCATCAACATCATCATCACCATCAACATCATCGTTATTTGATGAAAAATAGATAAATAAGTAAGAATTAATTACCGAGAACGGAGGCAATAAGCCATATACATCCCGAGGGCCGCAGGCCCGAGGCATGTATAGGCTTATTGCCGACGTTCGAGGTAATTAAATATTTTATTTTATTTATCAATTGAGAAGGTTTTCTATCAAATGTTGCTCATTATAAATGCGAGGTCTATATATAGTTATTAACCGGGTCAATAACTAACTATATATTGACCTCGCATTTATATTGAGGGTTATAACAAAAATAAAGCCTTGTGAATAACAAATTAAACCGTGTCAATTGAGAAATAAGAGCACTTACCGAAGAATCACCAATGTTGTCTTCTAAGTTTTTGTCCCGTCTTTTCAATCTCAGCAAGCAGAGACGGTTTTCCCGTTGCTTTTTCGGATCGTTATAGTAGCTCAGTTTAATGACATCATTCTCAGCGGTACCACAGAACTGCTTGTTGCATTCTTTGTTCTCACCAAGAAACCTACAAACAATGCAATGACTATTCTAAAATCAGACGTAACACTGAAACACGGGTGGTGTAGCCRGTGAGAGCGCTTGCCTCTCATCAATACGATGCAGATTTCAGTTCCAYTGGGGCTCGGTGTCGTATGTGAAGGAAGGAAAGGTATATTACATACCGTAGAAAGAAATCCTCGTCCCATTTTGATAAACCTTCTACCTCAGGATAAGCCTTCTCCTGGCACCTCATGGGCTGATCACCAGTAGAARAAACCGAACAAGTGAATGACTTTCCTGCAACAACAAACAAAAACGAACTTTTCAACTTTGAAAACAGGCTCGGGACCACCCTTGAATTGTTGTCTTTTCATATTTGGAATCAGCATTAAATTTCACTTTAAAAACATGCAGTTTAAAAAAAGATTTTCCCCCAAARAGTAGCCAGTCCCCTTAGTGATAATCGACGGGTATCTTGATTTAAGATAGCAGGAAATATTCCTATTGTTGTAATTGTCTTGCCATCAACAAATTAATCCTCACCATAACCTGGAGTGAGATCTTACATATTTACACATTTTCAATCGAATTTCAATCGCGCTTATAAATCTTGACGTAAAAAGGTACATCTTACTATCACCTGTAGCTTCATGCATTCACATGACGATTATCTTGATCGAWAATAGAAATATTCCTACTCAGTTAGCCTGCGTTACCAGCGGTCTGCGGTTTTTTTCAGACTGCCGGCAACACAGGCTAGCTCAGTGTCGTTACTGCTTTCACATCGACAAATCCTCACCACAATGAGCTCTTACACATTAACAATCCAATTCCCATCACGGTGTTATGCTACACAATTTCTAAAATGGCTTCCTCATCATGACGTGAAAGTTGCATTCATATGATGACCCTACCCACTTACCTGCCATTTTGTCATCCAGAGCCTCTTGTCCATCAAGTGCCACACAAGTCAGCTTAAACTCGACATCTGGCCACGTTTGTCCGTTTTTCTCATACGCAGCAAAACTAACATCACTTGGGGAATCAAACCAACACCGATAGCAAGAATTGACGCTGTCTTTTACATACTGTAATGGAGCATGAAGGGTATTTAAGGGCCAAAATCTAGAAAAACCGATAGTATTAATAATAAACCAATGAAAATAATAAGGGGGCACAGTCTCGCCCTTGTGACCCAGGTTATGATTACAGGTCATATGAACATGCTTGACTTGTTTATTTTGTCTTTATTGTTTTGTTTTGTTTTTGTTTTTGTTTTTTTCCTCTGGTTGTCCGCACTTAAAATTAGCCTGTGAGGTGGGTAGTGTGTAAATACATAATGTAGCGGTAGTGACTGTGGAGAGCTTGATATGCTTATTATGATATTATAGTCACAAAATATTGGATTCCTCTTTTGTCACAAAGCGTTTCTGAAGAAGTAAAGCAAAATTAGGTAAACATGTAGACTCATGCAATGTTTTTCTGTTACTCATGACAAACGTCGAACTTCACATGAGCCGAACCTAATGACATCAAAAAAGACTCCGCCTTGTCATCCATTATTTCATTTAGGTTCGAGTTATGAGAAATTCGATGCGTGACAACATGACGACGTAACGACACTAARAAAGTAAGAATAATAGACTAGATAGCAGGAAACAAGGCTCTTACGCTGAAAAATGATCAACGCSGAATTCCATGACGTCGTCATTTATAATAAAATTGGCAACTTCATTCCACTGTCCATTTGATTGGCTATCAAAATCCAAGCGAAGAAGTAGAGGATGACTGCCAGGAGTTTTCGAAGATTGAAATGGAATTTTAATTTTCACATTCTTTGAAAATACAACGCCTTGGAAACCATGGAACAACAAAGCTGAAGAAGCAACAATATTGTCCTCTAATACCATTCTTTTATCGGGCAATACCTATAGTGAATAAAAGGATTGTCAGTGAATTCTTGCAAATAAAAAAGTCTTCAGTACAAATCGGCAATCGACTGCTTATATCGGACAAAAGACACATTTTATATCCTCAATCACTCGACGTTTGCCTTCATATTGTACATATATTTTTCTTTCGGATAATCTAGAACCAAAACATATTGTTTGAAATTCGCTTTTTACACATTTACATATATATAAGCGTGTGTACGGAGAGCCACATCAGATGCTACCAGCAGCTGTGTTCTCTACGAACCCATGCCCTCACATAACAAAAGAGACCCTGGAGGACAATTGCTTCTACAATCAAACAATCGCGAAAGATAATGAACTCGGATGTACCACCAAGTTCGGAGTAAATAASAGTTGCAGCATTGGATCGTAAGGCCTGAAGAAATGTTGTTGCTGCCTGCTGCTCTAAAACCGCCTAGGGTTCGAGCACACGCGAAGAATGCTAAGACCATATGTTGTGAAATGTAATATACAATAAAAAATATACTAGCCGGAGATAAAGTGCTTATTTTACTTACATTCATGGTTCCTTCCAAGGTCTTGTTTACAGCTCCTTCAGGGAACTCAACTGTGAYATCATCATATACAGAGGACCTGACAACACATCCTTGAGGAGTGACTTGGAAACTATCGTTGACGAGTCTGGTTACAACTGCTAAAGTTGAGAGCTTTTTCAGGCTCACTTGGAGATAGTGGGGTGTACAGTATTCTGGTGCATGTAAATCTTCTTTGAGCACTAAAACAAGAACAACTGTGTGTAAAAATGATCCTAACAAATCAGTGAAGCAATGTCGATGCATGTTGGAATGCAACATCTTGAAAATGTGAGCTTCGACTGATGATTTGCAATTCCCAAAGAAACAAGACAATGAAGGATGAGCCATATAGAGGCTTTGCACCATCAMGTGATGGCAGCCATGACAGGAGGCAGGAACAATTGAATCTGATCTAATCTGSCTTACATGAGAAAGAATTCAGTTTTCCAGGGAGAAAAAGACTATTGTTGTGCCTCCTGTCATGGCTGCCAACACGTGATGGTGCAAAGCCTCTATATGTGGTATCAAAGGCAGCAAATGAAAAAACTTTTGTTAAATACCACCATGGCGCAGAGATTAGTAACTTGAAAACAAAGGTTAACTTTGCAGTTTTACCTTCAATTTCTTTCCACGATTCATTTACAGTGTCGAAGGCCCTTACGGTTATTTCATAGCCATATTTCTTGACAGGCCCTGAATGCAACAGGGTCACGATGATGGGGTTTCGCAGGTCAACAGACGCTGGGCCCAGTTCCACAATATAGCTAGCCAAACCCTCGGTGAACTTTGCCGGGGARAGAATGGGGTGAGTGTCGAATACTTTGCATTTGATCTTCGTTGGTTCAGTGACAGTGTTTGGTGGAACATAGATAAAATGTCCATATTTAGAGTGGTTATAGTAGCCCCCATTTTCGTATCTGCGGAACCAACAAAAAAAACATTTGAAGGGTTAATCATTACTTAATAGGTGATGATATGTAATTGTTGATTGACATCCCAGTCATTATTTAGTAGTAGTGTTGCTTTGTTTGACCTCAGTCATAATCTCTTCGCGTAGAGGACAAACTTCTCGAATCGTTTTTGTTTTTGGTTCACTCTCTCCTTTTTTCCTCAATTCTCTGCCATAGACCTTTTCTGAGATAGCGATAATGGTGCATCGTGTTCTAGCTACCGTACAATCATCTTTTGTTCATCATGCCTTATATGGTGTTGTTTGTACCGAAGCTAGACCACAATGGCATCCTGTTTATCGAACTCAGAAAAGGCCTATGGTTCAAGCTCAACGTCGTTTTTCAATAAATAAGAAAACAGACAGTGATTTGCTCTATGCTCCAAGGCATACTAGAATCAAACGTACTAGGATAGTCGAGTTGATTGAGTTACAATCGGACCTACAAAGGAATAAGGCAAACAACCGGTACTTAACATAGGCAGGATTGGGTTGACTGTCCGTTCAGACAGGTAGCGAACCAACCAATCAATCAATTACCCGCTAAAATACAGTGGTAACAGTGTAAGTCACAAAACACAGACTAAACTCATGGACTAGAGTGGTTGAATGACCATCACAAAGTACAGAAGCAATCATCTGATGAGACCGACAGTCCAAACATTTACAGTCAACTCTCGACTTACGGACACCCCGATATTATGGACACTTCGTTATTACGAACAGGAGAAAATTCCCCGGCATATATAATGACCAAAATTAATTCTCGTAATTGCGGATGCTCATTATTACGGACATGAAGTGACAGTCCCGAGGGTGTCCGCTGTAAAGAGAGCTGACTGTATATATAAACTAATTATCATCAGCATACAATAAGTACTCAGATTTTGGTTCTGTGGCCAGATACTTACACATTGATCTCGAATTCAACTGGTCCGCTAACAATCCAAGATTCGTCTTCCTGGCAAACAAAATGATACTAGATCAAACAATATTATATATATATTTAGAAATTACACTCCTAGTCGGTGCTCGTGCTGAGTAAATTTGGATTGGTTATAGTAAAAGATTTGGAATGGGAAACCTGTGGGGCGCATTTCTTGATTGAAACCAAATTTGAAAGAAAAACCACAGACAGTAGACATTTACAAACAATAGCCCACTGAATTCTGAGATATGCTTTGCTTGTCACGCACAAAGGCTTTAATGTGATGCTTCGTAGACTGATACACTCAGTCATTTGTGACAGGAGAAAATAATTAATTAAATCTAGAAAGTAAAACATTTGTGCATGACAAGCAAAGCATATCTAGGATGTGGCTCAAACTTGAACCCAGAGCCTACGTTCAAATTGATAAGCAGTGAGAAACATTTTTCGGTGCCGACCAAGAGGACTGTGGGCTCTGGGTACGAAACGCTCTTGGTCAATTGTCTCGGTACTGACCAATAGGAACGTGGGCTCTGGGTACGAGATTTAAGAAGGCTATTCTACTTCAATTTGATAACGGGTCCAAGATCAATGTTCATGCAAAGTGATTCTATTACAGAAGAGCCAGCGCACGTACACTCCTTGCGACTTGTTTGTTCGTTTGTTTGTTTTTGTTTGCTTGGTTTAGTTTTTTGTTCGTTTTTGTGTTTTGGTTTTTGTTTGTTTGTTTGTTTTTTTTCCCCGAAAATTTCTCTTGAACACTAATGAATACACAACTAACCTTTCCTATCTCTTCGATTTTGATTTCCATTTCCCTCAGTTTGTCTTCTTGGTTCATTTTCTTATACATCTCTGCAAGTCTACCATACAACTTCTTTCTCACGACACTGTGGTCCTCTTCTGGTAGACACTCCTCCATTTTTAACGCTTCTTCGTAGCTTTGCAAAGCTGCTTTAGTATTTTCTTTGAATTCCTGAATGATCCCAGTCAAGTAAAGAATCCTTGCATTTTCTGCCTGTTTCCTTTTCTTGACTCTTTTCAACATTACCTCAAGTCTCTCATACAGCAGATTTCTCACAACACTATGGTTGTCCTCAGGTAAAGTCTCCTCCATTTCAATAGCTTCTTCATAAATTTGTAGGGCTGCTTTTGGGTCGTCTCTCCATTCATGAATGATCCCAATAGCGTACAGAATCCTCACAGTGTCTGGGTGTTTTCCAAGATTCTTTTTTCTGATTTCATAGGACTTCTGTGCATATTCAAGCGCCTCATCATACTTTTTAAGCCCCAAAAGAATATTTGCGAGGTTTCTTTGGAAAATGGCTGTGTGTTCTGTGCCACTCACTTCTAATTCTTCTTGTAATTCAAGTGCCTTCTTCGTCAATTCCTCGGCTTTTTCATATTCTTCTCTTGCCTTTTTCTTTCCTCCTAACAAGCTACTGAGAAAACCCTGCTCATATTTTCTGCCAATCTGGTCATGAACTTGTGAGATTTGATTGTAAAATGTTGGGAACTCCCAGTGTCTGTCACTACCAACGAGTCTCCTTTTCATCTGTATTGCCCTTTGGTAATACCCCAATGCAGCCAGAGGATCATTAAGTTCCATGTAACAATTACCAATGAGATTCAAGCCCCGTGAACTTAAAGTGCTATCTCCCATAAACGTTTCTCTTATCGAAATTGCATCTTTTAAATCTTCAATCCCTTCTTTCAGAAGCCTTGTGCTTTCATTTGACTCTTTGACTAACTTTGTGGCACTATAATACTTGATCTTACCAGAACAGTGTGAATACAAGCTTTTAACTTCGCGTATCTTCTGCTCATGACCTGGTGTTTCCTCAGCTTTCTTGATGCATTTATGTGCCTCTTCTAATGTTTTCGGAGCAAGTTTTCTTCCTTCTGTGTCAGTACACTGTAGTGATTGCCAGCATCTCATCAAGGCACTGGCTAACCAGTTTTCTGTTAAGAAATATCATAAAATCATTAACTAGTTCTCAGAGACTGCTCAAGAGAATGGAAGGTTATGGAAAATTGAAAAACATTTTGCACAAAATTTTACAAAAGGACAAGCTATTGTGGGCTCCAGAGCGAGCAAGGTAAGATGTCCAAGAAGCAAGCAAGATGTCCACAGAAGTATGCTGACTAAGAAAATCACTATTTATTTAAAAATAAACAGAAAGGAATGGAAGGAGGGAGGGAAGAAAGAAAGGGAGTAAATAAGGAAAAGGGATGAATGAATGAAGGATAAAAATTAAAGAGGGAAGGAAGGAAGGAGGGAAAGGAATGAGACAAAGGGAGAGAGGGAGGTACAGTACATGTAAGGATTATCAACCTAGACTCAATCTTCTTGGTTCATGTAGGGGTTGCTTGAGAATGCATACATTTATGTTATAACAGTGCTGTCACAACAACCAGAGTCACTCATTTTTTACGCATTAGCCAACTACAAAGCTGTAAAATTTGATTGAAAAGACCAAAGGCCTGATTTTAAAGATGGTCATGTTACATGTAGCTAGTGTAACACTGCAATGGGGAGATAGATTAGGTCCAGAACTAAGTTTGGACTTGAGACTTTTATTGAAGGGAATTCAAGCCAGAGACTTGACATAAGGGTACCATCGCATGCATATATTTGTATGATGACACTGATTGAGCACAAGTTAATTTGAATAATAATCAGCAACCCATATTTCTAGCTCAGCTACCTAAAATTCAACAACAGAATATAGACACTTCATACCACAAAGGATTGCAAAAATGAATTTACATCAAAGACTAAGATTCTGGTCACTAAACCAAATTCATTCTTGTTACCCTATGTGTACAATAATCATACCCTGTTTTGCAGCCATATCAGCCCATTTAGCAAAAAGATCTCTTCTTTCATCTACTTCTTTTAAAACTTCAAAGAGAATTCCCATCAGTGCAAACTGTTTGTGGTCATCAGTATGAAGCAACAGGTCCAAGGAGTCTTTGTTTTCCTCGGATAAGTCAATAACGAGCTCTAAGTTTGCTCTGTTGATCTCCAGCTTGGAATAAGTTTTGACAAACTCAGTTTCCAAGTTTTTTGCATGTGTGACCATTTTTTCAGAAAAGTGCTTAAAAAACTGTTTCTCTCCTTGTTTGAAGCTGTCGTTGATCCCAGGTCGTGAGCCACAGAGATATTTAATAAAGTCTTTAAATAGGCCATGGGTGTCATACTTCCTCTTTCCATCTACATCCACAACTGCAATCATTTTGTAATTTACTAGCATTTCTAAATCAATCTCTGCATCATGATCAGATTTAATTTCTGTAATTTTCATTGCAGTGGACCAGGAGAAAGGAAGGCGGAGTAAAGAAATCTTTACAGCAACTTCTTTTAAGTGATCACTTGGCAGTGAATCAAATAATGCACTGATACAGGCAAAGTCTCTCGGTACTTTCTGTTCAATCAAAGAGTCCAGTTTTTGTAAGACATCTTTGGCCTCAATAGAAGAACTAAACCTCATGAGCTGTTCTGTCACTTCCAACAAGTAAGGAATATCACGGCAGATTTTAGAAATTTCATTTATGACCTGATCATTCTCTTCTTCTGGAACTTCAAGGACAGCATTTCGCCTTTTCATTATAAACTTCTTGGAGACTTCACTATTCAGTGGTTTAACTTCATATTCAGTAAAATATTTACCTTTTAGTGAAGGTTCATTAATTTCTTCTTGAGAAGTCAGAATAAATTTAAGCAACTTACTTTTGCAGGCCTTTGTTTCAATAACAGATTTTAGTAATCCTGTAAAATCTTTTCTTGACGCTCCTTTTTTATTCAGCAGCTGTTCGACATTGTCAAAAATGACCAAAGTCTTTTTATCCAACTTCTCATTGAGATACTCATAGATCTTATCAACACTAAAATTCCAGCTTTTAACTCCTAACTTCAAAAGGATTTGAACATAGACTGTGTCCATATCTTTGATATCTCTTAAATCAACAGTCAACGTTTCAAATCCTTTAAGTTCTTTAGAAACTTCTTTAGCCAATGTTGTTTTTCCAACGCCTGATTCTCCAAACAAGTTTATGCCGGGAATAATTTTATTTTTTAAGCGTTCCGTAACTTCCTTCACGTCTTTTTCCCTCCCAACAAAATCAGCTTTCCCTTCTGGGAACGAAGAGCTATTCTTTTGAATGATATTCTCGATTTTTTGGGAGACTGAAGTCTTCTTTGCCACGCTTGAGAGTAACCTTGAAGATGATTTGCCATTATCGAAATAACCATGTTTGTGAACCACTTTCAGCGTTTCATTTATGTTTAACCCTTTAGTATCTTCCTGCACAGCTAAGCCTGAACTTAAAGCTTTTAGAAATTCAGCCTTTTCGTTTTCACTCAGCTCATCATCCAGTCCTTTTGCTAAGTTTTCGTATCCTAGTGGAAGGACAACACTGGTCGCCATTTTGAATGGCACAGCGCTGCTGACCAGCAATGAACGCACCACAGCGAGCCCATTATTATATTGTTGGTTATCGTCATCTTGCTGTAGATGTTGTTGTTGTCGTGTTCGTTGCTGTTATTGTTTGTTTGCTGAAATAAGATTTCTTACTGGTGGGGGAAAAAATCTTAAAACGGGCTAAATTCAAAAAATAACCACGCAGAGCGAAAGAAGTGCTATTTCTCAATGATCGGGTAAAATTTCGAGGCTTTATTTCACGTTTCAATGATTTTATTCAAATTTTTGATGAATCTCCATACATTTCCTTATAACAGAACACCACAGAAACCAAGCTTGGGCTACCTGTGGTACAAGCTGTATTATTAGTGCATGCACGTGATGGTATAGTATGAATTATTTATTCAGTTGCGGAGTTAGGGACGTACCCGATTTGAATTTTGATGGGAGGAGTGGAGGGGGGACGAATTTTTGGAGTGCTCGATCTATATCTTTTCCGTTACACAAATTACAAGATTAACAGAACATGTCCCTGCACGATATCTTTTTCATACTGTAATTATCAGCGGTATTACTTGCAAACATGTATGGGCTACCTGTGTTAGGCATTAGAGGAGCCATGTTGAATTGTGATTAAACTAGAATCGTTGTGCATGCAATCCGTGTCAATCCTCATCAATAAGTAAACATCTTTACACATACAAAATCTTCACCTATAAAAAAACTCTCAAACTGCATGACTCGGTATTAACCGCCATGCTTTGAGGGAACTCAACTTAAACCTGCAGCTTTTCAAAATTCCAACCGTTCTGTAATTCACATATGCTAGAAAACTATTGTTACCGTATGCTGCAGTTACATAGCTATTCTACTGTGTGGAGGCATGCCCCCAGAACATTCTGAAATCCAGAAGCTCAGTCAGAAATGCAATTTCCGTCATACGTTTTCCTGAGTATAAAAGGCTTGATGCTCGACGTTTTTTCACTGATAAGTTCATCATGCTTATAGGGAGATTTTGCCCCCCCTCCCTCNCCCCCCTCCTTCCCATCAAATTCTGTTAATAAAGTTTGCCAGAATTTAGAAAGTTACTTGTCCCTGGTTACTTACAACCAATTCAAAGGCTCATTATTTTACTCATTCCGTCATGCAGAGTTACTAAGGGGAAGTATCGCAGTAATTGACGATACCTTATAGGTGGGCGTACTGTTTACATTTCCAAAAATCAACTATTGAGCCATAAACGATTGGACTTAAGAAATATACAGAAGTCATAACTGTTGATAATATTTATCAATTTGAGAGCAGTTGCTTCATTAGTTAAGGAGATATGATAAATTAAAGTTGCTAAATTTTGCAATAAATGTAGGTTGGTAGGCAAAATCTTGTCAACCAACATGCATTTACTGTAAAACGTCACACATTAACTTGATAACCATCAAGAGATTTTTCCCTCAAATTCTCAGATATCTTCCAAAGCGATAGAATCTTGCCACTTTTGATGTTTGTTTGTTTATTGCTAGAATTTCCAATAATTTAATGTTCTTGATAAAAACAAATTACGTCATCGTACGCCCACCTATTAACTAAGCCGGAACGTTTAGTAGGGTTTTAGTTCATCAACCTTTCTTACGTGAAATTTTTTTTCTTCTTGAGAATATCGATTTATCATTTAATCTAAGATGCATTTGTTATATTTTCTTGTTTTCGGGATTTTTCTTCACAACCTTTCCACAGAAAGTAGAAAAGTTACTCCTGAAGGAATAGTAACCGAGAGGTTTAAAGCAGACGCTTTTCGTCGAATCACATCTCACCTTATCGAGAAACACATAGTCAATAAACTTGGCTCGTGTGCCTTCAGATGCTCGAAAAACCTTGAATGTATATCGTTTAACTTTGGGAATCGCATCAATGGTAAACACGACTGTGAGTTACTAAGAACAGATAAGTACAACTCAAGATCTTCCTACGTTACCAGTACAGACTTCCACTACTTTTATCCTGTGGTAAGTAAAGCATGTTCTCTATTACTGAGATGCACGTACATATGTCATTAATTCCATTCTTTGCTTTTTTATTGCACTGCACGAGTCACATATTCGATATTCGCCTGTTATCAAACCTTTCTTACCCAATTCTTTTACTCTCTCTCCCTCCCTCTCTCTCTCTCTCTCTCTCTCTCTCTCTCTCTCTCTCTCTCTCTCTCTCTCTCTCCTCCCTTTCAATCTCTCTCTCAATTCCACTCCCCTTCCCCCTTTGCTGTTAATAACATCGTTTCAAAATTAATGACATTTGTTACAGTGGCTCGTTCCGTAGTCGCGAACACCATCGGAACGGCGCTGCGACACAAGTTGCATGAAGCATTGCATACAGAGCAATTTGAAAAATGTTGCCAAACAAGTTGCAGCAATCGTTGAGAAATTCGTTTCTACTTTTGGCAACGTTTGAGTCTCCGTTGCACCGTATAGACACTCTTGCAACTTGTGTCCCAACGCCGTTGCGAGACAGAGAAAATTGGTCCGTGTATAATCGCTGGCTTTAAGACGCCATGGCTCCGATCCATAGAAGACAAAATTATTATTTTTATATTATTTGACAGAATGAAAAGAAGACTCTGGAAATCAATACTGACAAACACCTGCATGCATTAGCCTGCATGGAGGTTTTAATTATTCTCTTAGTCAAGTTGTCGGACAATAACTTAATTAAAATGGTAAATGTTATTTCAGCCTATTTTGCCACGCAGCTACATCAAATCGATAGATTTTCTCCAAACTCGGCAGACAGAAGAATTGTGACAACCCGTTTTTACAAAGCATCTGAAGTTTTATGGAAATCGTTCGATTTTTAAGCGAACGGGAGGACAATATTCGTGAAAAGCCACTGTTAGATAATCGGCCAGTAACGGCAAACGCAACTCAAAAATATAAATTCGAATACGCCGTTAAAAGCCTAAATGTTTGAGGTATTACATGTGCTAAATTCCGAAATATCCGAGTGTGTTTGACGCAATAAAAATCGCTAAATTCACTCGCTGACTTTAATTACGTTGGAGTCGCCTTTTAAACCACGTATTTAGGGTTAGTCGCTGATAGCTAAAGCTAGGCAGGTGCATCCCATTTTAAGAATTCAGTTATCTTTCTTAGTTAATGAGGTATAATATAGCCACGGTACGACCGTAGCCTGTTCGCATATAGCGAAAATATATTTTAAAATTAGCCACAATTGCTAAGAGTGCTCTTAGCGTTAGAATATATAGACAGAATGGAAATAGAAGCTAGATAAGAAGAAATGAAAGCGAAATGTAGTTAGGAAAATGTTATTAATTTTGAATGTTGCCAAACACCTTGAAGACAACTCTTAACAGCAGGAGTAAATCTTAGAGTTAATTAGTTTAAATTGTCTTGTTAACTCGTTCATTTTACTCGGTACGTGTGGGCATATCTTCTTCGTAGCTTACCGTGCATGGTTTCTTCCATAGTTACCTTAAAAAATCAAATTTCATCAAAAAAGAAGCAAAATAACGTTGCATTTTGGAACTACGGCAAATATGAGGATTTTCCGATTGCAAAAAAAGATGATCCTGACATTCTATCTCTGAAGGAGTTTGTCCTGCACTTGTCTTTTATTCCTCGGCTCCTTTTTGAAATTTATTTATTGACGTTTCACTGAACAGAAATCAAAAATATTAATGTTCATGAAGCAGTTTACGAATTAAAGCAAGTAAAGCATTTTCGTGAATTAACGAGACAATACAGAAGAATATATGACAAAAAATTAATAAATGACAACTTCTGCCGCGCGGTCGTTAGTTTCGAAAGCTTTGACAATCAATGGCAATTATTTTCAATTTTGAGGCCAAATATTCTCTTGATATGCGGAAAAATTAACTGAGAGTAACTGAGACCCTGACGTCAAAAAGGATATCAAAGAACAGTAAACGTCATTATTATTGATTAAAACAAACGTCCATATAGACTCTTGCAAGAACTGACGATGCTTAACCGAGCATATTGCCTTCTGCCCCACCACTTCAAAATTGAATGCCATCCCCTAGAAAAACATGTTCTGCAAACTAAAGTATCCCGATGAAATCCCGTCGAGGGAAAAGAATATCCAATGTAAGTGGAAATTTACATTCATCATTTTGTGAACTATTTCGTGTGTTTTTACGTATGTATGTACGGTCAACTGAGGAGAATTCCAGTTAGATAGATTTTTACAAGCCATATATATATATATATATACTGCCAAAGGTTTCAATCACGCCCAGACGATATGCATTTTAGTACACGTTTATGCTTGTTAAAATACTAGAAATCTTTTAGGGAAAAGAAAAATCTAGTTAGAGGCTGCGGAGGAGCCTCTAGAGTGACATGAATCTTCGTATTCTCAGAATGAATAATAAATTTCATTGTTATCGATACTAAGGACGCTTTATTGATTGATCGTGTTTACAACTACAGACTTAACTAACTTTAAAAGAATTTCAAAATACCCCATATTTATACTAATACAAAGCTATTTCTATTTTTTCACATTAAAACTGAACATTTGGGGTTGAGGTAATCATCGAAACACAGTAGTGAGAGGCCCAAAAGACTCTCCGAGACTACTTTCGTTTCTTCGTTTGTTTTACGATAATTTACATCGCTTTTTTTTCTCTCTCTCTCTGCAGTGAAGCAATCATCGAAACACGATAGTAAGAGGCCACGAAAAATGGCTCTCTGAGATGAAAGGAGTACTTTATTTTCTTTGTTTGTTTTAACGATAATTTAAGTCTGTTTTTCCCTCTGCAGAACAAATGTCAGCTGCAAGAGCCATGTTCCGCAAACACTAGTTCGTGTCTACCTGAGTATGATACCGATGGCTATCGTTGCAAGTGTAAGTCTGGAATTGGTGGGGAAGACTGCCAAAAAAGTGAGTATCAGGCACTGCTCAAACGGCTAAGCTTGAACTTTTGCCGCGTCGCATCTAATTGACTTTGAGGTCGAGTGCCGTTTTTTCTTAAAACAATAAAGTAATATATGCCAGACTTAACACAATCCATCTTCTGGTGCAAAGCAAGAGAGATGATGTCATATATAGTAGTTCTCGGCGTTTTTCTTAGCCACTGGCCTTAAAGGAAAAATCTGGATCGAGTTGGCATTGCAGTGCATTGTCGGACTGTTTTAGGGACATATTTCCAAGATGGCGTCTATTTAGTCCCTGAGACAGCCCCTAAAATGCACTGCAATGCCGACTTGGCCCAGTTTTTTCCTTACCCTCGACATCGCAAATATACCACTATAATAGTCAAAGTCCCCTGCGCCATCTTGAAAGGTAACCGTGCCTGTGCATCGAAACGAAAACGGAGGTGTAGAAACCTTTTTTTGACACCTTGAACGATTATTTACATGTCTCTATCATTGCAAGGTCACCGCCGTTCTCGCTTTGATGCACATATACGGTTACCTTTCAAGATGGCGAGGGAAACTGTGAAGGGGACTATTGATCCTGTTTTGATAAATTATTTCTCTTATTTAGTTTGCAAAGACTGTTCCCAGCTACATGCGTTAAACTTCACATCAGACGGCGTCTATTTTATAGATCCAGACGGGTTAGGTGCATTCCCTGTGTACTGTAACATGACGAATGGCGGTTGGACTTTGTTCCAGAAGCGTTTTGATGGTTCCGTACGCTTCAATCGTAAATGGCAAGAGTACAAGACGGGTTTTGGCAACGTGAGTGGCGAGTTTTGGTTAGGTTTCGACAAGATCCTTCGACTGCTCCGAAGACCGGGTATCCCACCTCCATCTTTACTTGTTGATGTTGAAAACTGGAACGGGGATTCGGGCTATTCAGAGTATTCGACTTTTTCTATCGCTAACGAAAGTGATTCGTATCGCTTGACCGTGAGTGGATACTCGGGTACTGCAGGCGACTCACTCTCAACAGCGAGTTCAAGCAACTCACGTGAGATTCACAGTGGCATGCAATTCAGCACATCTGACAACGACAACGACATGGCTGATCCTAATTGGAGCTGTGCTATCGAATACGAAGGCCCTTGGTGGCATAACAACTGTGGCTTGTCCCATTTGAATGGTAGGTACGAGAAGGACACGATCAACTCGGAGTATAAAGTGATGTATTGGTGGTCCCTGAAAAGTAACTATGCAGGGATCAGAAAATCAGAGATGAAATTGAAGTAGTTTAAGAAAAAAGCAAAGCAATAGTTGACCCACTTTCATACGAATTAAATGAACATTTCTCACATTTCTATCGCTGGGGTTATCGTTCGGAAAAAGGTTTCCATTTGATCTCCGCGATAGCTGAGATTGCCAACAATTGCTGAAAATGTGTTTCATATTATCGTGAAACACGCTTTTGAGCGATTGCAGCGATCGTAGCAATCAAATGGTATATCGACGTCGAAGAATGGTTTCCATTTGGTCGCCAGGATCGCTGAAAATGATTGGGTGAAACATGTTTTTGGGCGATTGCAGCGGTCGTAGTGATCAAATGGCGGATCGACCTCGAAGATGGTTTCCATTTGGTCGTCATGACCGCTGAAAATGGTTGAGTGAAACACGCGTTTTTAAGCAATTACACCTCCCTTCGACGTCGAAGGGTGGTCCTTTTGGTAGCCATGATCGCTGAAAATGTGCTACCGAGTTTGCATATTTATGAAAATAGCACGATGAATCGCACTTATAATTTACTATAAGGTAACTTGCACTAAATCCCTACCTGAGGGTCAAAACAATTGAACATATTACCACTGGTAACATCGTAAAAATAGTTCAATCCTCAAGAGAAGGGAATTCTTTTGTTTTGACGGACTCCCCAGATTGAGCTGCTTTGACGTCACATGAAAAGGGTTAGGTCTATAGAGTGGTTTTTACCAACTCGCAAAAGAAAGTGTATTTTATTAGAGGGTAACAGTCAGATCCGAATACAACAGAAAACAGAATAATTCTAAAAACGCTAAAGTGTATTTCACGTGTTCATGAAAACTCTAGTAGTGGTGATATGGTCTGGTTTTGTTGGTTGTAGTACGCATATAAATATCAAACAAGTTGTAAAAACGCGAAAACTCTAATAAATATGTATCATGCATTGATATAAATATCTCTGAGAATGATATTATCTTGTCTACAAAGAAGATAAATGTGTAAGTGACGTATATATTTGTATTTATATAAATGTGTATTCATGGCACAACCATTATGAATCAGATCCTGAAATAAATAAAAAATTAAATCCACTAAAGCTGCGTTCATAATGTATGGCAG